GCAAACGCGGTTTTGGCAGCCGCTGTCGCAGCTCCCAGTGCAGCAGCAGTTTATCCAAGAGCGGGGGTAAAATCAGGTGCAGCCAGGTGACTGTCATGGCCAAGGGCATCAGGACTTCTGGTTTGCGTAGCGGCTACGAAAGATCGAGAGAAGCCTATAAGGGTTTTTGTTGATCGTTATCTGTGAATAGTGTAGGATTAATAGGGTTTGATATGATTTGGCAGGTTGGGTCTTTTTGGAAGGAAGGTTTTATACAGTCATGAAATTCTGTGACTTTTTGGATAAAAAAAGTGGGTTTTTTTCCCTCTTTTTGATTGATTCAATCTTTGAGAAGTAAATGTCTTTGACTGATAGGTTAGGTGAAATAAGTCTCAAACTAATATACACAGCCATAAATTAACAAAAAATAAAGTGGTGATTTTTTTAGAAATATTCAAGGATACATAAAATATATGGAAATGATTTTTTTTTTAAAAGTAAAAAAGAAAGAAGAAATCAATTTCTTGAATAAATGATCTTATCCGTGAGCTGTGCATTCAACAACCGGATATTCGTCTATCAACGAGAAGCAGACGATCAGGTGATAACGAAACTCCAACTTTTGGATTTGGGTTGAGAGTTGGACCGACGAAAACCCATAACCATGGACATTCGAACCAGTCGGGGTAAGGCAAGGAAACACGAGGCGAGAGGTCCAATACCGCAAAACGTTCTAATGTTTAGAATTTTTTTCTCCAAAATACTAAAATGAAAAAAAATGACGATTTTAAGAATTGCATCCTAATACATAACCATTCACCGCTTGCTCCTCAACCTCGCCTCTTGGCCTTGGGTCACCCCTTAGCTTAGGTGACCGAATACCCAATCTCATATAACACAACCCCCGTAATAATACCACATTTTTGTTCCAAAATTCCGGGTCTATTAAATATACATAATATTAAAAATAATGAAGAATAACCTGATAAGATAGGGTCATAATATCTATACAATGTTTAAAATAGGGTCATAATATATAGTTCTACTGTCTGGAAAAGAAGAAGAAGATGATAATATATACATAATGACTCAACCCAAAGAGTCAATTGCATAACAAATCTAAGATAAGGAGAGTAAAGAAGAAGCCTGTCTAAGCAAAAGCAGGGTTAGTTAGTCAGTTGTTAGTCCTCCTCGGAGTCACGGTCTGAGTCGACGAAACCGAAATCAGGACATCCCTCGACCCTTACGATCAATGTCCCTCTGTTCTCTTCCCAATGCCTAACTCCTTCTCTCTCTAGCAGCTTCACCACCTGAATCCCACACATAAGGCACCAGAACAACCACAGCTAAGGGCCACATAAAGCCAGATAGTTCACACCCCAATGCATTGCCCCCGGCTGAAGTTATAATCAACTATATAGCAAGTATTTTGTATGTACCCTTGACTTCATCCTACTTTGCTTCGACCCGAGCGAGAAGACAAAAAAGGGTGTTTCAGAAACTCACCGATTGTTTCACTTTGGACTTCCCAATTCCATGAGACCCACATCCTGTGATAACTCTGAGCGTTCGAACAGCTGGTGCAGATAAGGGTTGTTAAAAGGAGACGATATCTCATGTTTTTTCTTACTAGAAGCTGTAAAGATAATAATCTCCTTGCAAGGAAAGAAGTTTAAATGAGACTGTTGTGTGCTTACATGGAACATATGATCCAAATAAGAGATGGAGCTTCAACAGCCTCATTGCTTGTTTGACATGCTGGCCATGCAAATCAATTGTTATCACATTCTCTATATCCCTATTTCTGCAGAAAAAGTAGTTTCAATCTCTTAGTTCATACAGATTAAGAAAAGGAAAAGACTAGTAAACCTTTTGAATGGTTACCTAGCCACGAATATATCCTGGCTTGCCTGCTCATCTGCCCGATGAGCTAATTTAGCTGCCGTTCTCCCCTAAAAGGACAAGGACTCAAATTCATATTGCATTTTCCGTTGGAATTCCCCGATCAGATGTAAGAATCACACAAAGGATACATAGATCATTAAGTGCACCTGGTCAGAAAGGTAAGCTGCATGGGCCCTTTCTCCTTTTGAATATGCTTGTGCAGCCTGTAACCAGACACTTAGTGCATTAGATTGGAACTAATAGATGGTAAGTTCCACCAGTGCAATAGAGATGGGCGCAACTAAAGCTTACTCTTTGATAATAGGTTTTCGTCGCATTCCATTGCTTATTTGCACCTTTTCTAAGTTCATGATATCCATCATCTTTCACTGCAACCCAAGTATTTACGTAATGCCAATAATGCGTCTACTAAGAAAAGATTTAATTCAAGATTTGCAACAAAGTGGTTCATAAAGAGTAAGCAGTTAAGACCTCAGATGCCTTTGCCAATAAAACTGTAGCTAAAATTGCTATGTGAAAACCAGGCAAACGTACAGACATCAAAAGCTCAAGATTTGCAAACTCATAGCACAATGAACCCACTTTTTGCTGCCAGAAATACAAATCAAGAAACCATAGTAAAATACCACAAGTAACCAGCTGAGACTCTGCCCCATCAGATGAACAAGCGTCAACACTAGATCCCAGAGACTGTAGTTTCTTTACTACATTCCTCCAATTCATTTTATCAGGTTCATGTCTAGGACTCTGGGGGATGTTAAAAAGAGACTTCAACACCTTATGTGGAAGATCAAGCTCGTTATTTTCTTGGGTAGAAGTAGATGGACCTTCAGAACTAGCGAGCACCCTTGCATAATTCCTAACATAAGAAAAAAAAGGCCATATCTTTAGGTTTCAAATCACCCACACTTTTATTGGAAGTGGAACACAACACAACAGAAAAAAGACGCTCAATGCAGGGTGGACCAAACAGATTAACTAAAGCTTTTTCTATGGCCTTTCCATTCGTAGCCCCAATCTTGCACCATGAACTATTTTGTAGTGCTGTTATTTGACGACACATCTACACAATTAATTAAAAGAGCAAAGAAGGTAATACAATTTGCACACAGAGCGGAAAAGTGGATCTCCCATGATTCACATGATAGAGGAATGCGATATAACCAGTACAACACAAACAAATGACAACGCATTACCTTTCATAGCAATTTGTTGTCCAGAAATTATCGTCTAGTTCACTTCTGGGTAAATACGTCAGGTAATTAGATGTTGTAGCTGCCAACTGTAAAAAGAAATGGAATAAGATTGAACGCTCATAAGATTCTGGGAAATGACGTTCTTCTGTTGAGGAAAAGAAGTCTGTAAATGACTCGGTGCACCATGCATCCCCACCGAGCATGGTCCGGAGAAGGGTCCCACCACAACCTTACCTTGCAAAATATTCTGCAAGATGCTGCTTCCAGGACTCAAATCCATGACCTCCAGGTCACACAACAATACCTCAACCGGTTCACCAAGGCTCCCAATGAATAAGATCAATTAGTGAACTACACTAACAAAAAAGTTATCACTTACACTATCACTATGTCCACAGCTGAATCCTCTATCTTCCTTGTACGAACGAGCTTCAGGGTAGTATCTACCATCAAAGGAAGTGTCACTTGATGAAGAAGACATATCAAGAATGACATCCAACGCCTAAGGAAAAACCATAAAGGTTAGAAAAATTCATGGCCTTGCTAGCGGCACCATTTTCAGCAGCCTATGATGTTAACAATCAAATAGTTTTCCATCTAACCAGTAAGACAAACAATTATGTATAGCAAAAGTACCTTGTCAACATTGTATCCGCATTGACCTGCAAAAGAGCAACTTCAGGTCATGAATTGCCGACACGGTTTTCCACAAAGCCCAGTTTACATGACTATTATAAGGATATAGAAATCAAAAGCACTCAAATCTTGCAACTTCGACAATCCTCAAAACAAGGGGCAATGAGCAAGGAACGAAACCAAGCAGGAATAAATACTCACACAGAATATCTCGAATAACGGCCATGCTAAGCTCGCAATCATCTCCGAGCATTGAGGATATGAATTGTTCAGCTTCCTCCATATCCGAAACAAAATTATTATTCTCACCGACTCCCTTAAACCTTGTAACCGAAGAAACCTCCTTTTTCACGGGGTTCTGCTTCATGTACTCTTTCCCTATTACTGTAGATACCGTGCCTG